AATACAACTTGCCATACACATGAATGGCAAAAGTTAGTACCGTCTTTGTGGGTCAACATGTCCTGCCCTTGTTTAAAGGTGACTGTTGCACCTAATGCAGTGGCTAACTTTATAGAGAATATGTTCTGGGGGTATGATGGAATAAACAGCGCATCTTTCAGCGTTGCTTTGTGTCGCTGGCCTGTATTGTCAATCAGGAACACCTTTGCGTCCCCCCTCTGTTGGGCGATGCCTCTGCACTGGGTACCGTCTGCCAGTTCCACGCTGTGTGACTCTGGTCTGAACGTGCTGTCGAAGCTCTTGAACTTGGCGATGTTGTTAATGATGTGTGAGGTAGCCCCAGTGTCCACCAACAGGCCTTTCTCCTCAATGCTGTATGCTGACTGCTCGACTTTGATGTCTGCGCCCTTAATCCGGCATTTCTGCTTTGGATCCGTTGGCGCTCTCATCTGTGACCTTCCGCGCGCCATCCTGTTTGTCTTTATGTCTACATGTGGTATCACTGTGTGTGTTGCTTTTGCAATGACTGCACCACGTCCTCCGTCTGCACACTTTTGCTCGGTGGCCTTTTAGTCCACACTTGAAACACACAATGTCCACATCGCTCTTGTATCTGCATCGTGCGCTGAATCTCGTGTGCTCACGCCCGGTTCTTACTCCTGTTCTGATTACGTTGTCGCTACACTCTGATGCGTTTGACTTTTCAGTGTCTTCGAAACTCCGTAGCTTTGTTTTGAACTCAGCAAATGTCATATCATCTTTATTGTGATTGTGACTTCATGTATTGAAAATGGTTTAAAACTTTCAGGTAGTCCTTTTAAAACCATAGCAATCAGTAATCCATCACCTAAAGTCCCACCCGCATTGCGCAGCGCTGTCACCTGCCGCTCCTATTTCGCCATGTCTGCTGCCCTCTTTCCCCTGACCTGCCAGGCCCTCTTATTGGCCTCTGAGACACCCCAGGTGTGTCAAGTTCATAATCAGGGAGGGGCGGAGTCTTTCCAGGACAAGTCAACAATAAATACAATAAAAACATGCAATAAACCCATAAGAACAAAACACTGTACAATATTAAAACATTAAAAATAGTAAAATACAGCAACTCATGCACAATAAAAAATGCTAATGGCCTGACAGTGAAAAAGCCGTCGGCCTCTGGAAGGAAACAGAAGACATTTCAGAGGCTGCAGGCAGATTTCTTTGGTTTTGGGCCTTTTTCAGCTTTATTGGACAGAGCAGTGAAGATAAGTGACAGCAAAGCAGAGGGAGAGAGAAAGGGGACGTGGCCCAGGTCAGAATCAAACCCAGGCCAGCTGCTCTCCACCTCGTGGCACATGGTCACCTGCTCATCCTAGTGAGCTCCACCAGCAGCCCTTTCACACAGTTTACACTGTCAAACGCTGCGTGTGGACCTCAGCTAACAATAGGCTACATTTAAGTCTGGACTACATGCTTTTATATTGAGGCAGATTTTTCACTGTTTTTATTCCATCAGCAGCTCAACATCATGAGCAGCTTTGACATAAAGACATCAAACTCAAGCGGACTTTAAACTGGATCTACTTTTAATACAGGGGCTCAAAAACAACTAACATCTTTATTATATATCAGGACAGAAAGTCATTTCATCTCAAATGGAAACAGCTTTATTTGGAATAACCAGCACTATCAACTGGTTTGGGATCTCCACCAGTTTCATGTCTTTACAGCTTCTCCAACAAAGTTGCTGTAAAATCAGCATTTTTGTCTGTATTGGTTTGATAGTGATTGATTATTCAGTCCCACTCTGCTGTCATCTTTTTCAACTTCTCCAAGTGAAATCCAACAAGTGTATTTAACAGTGCAAACCAGAGTGGAAGCTGCTCATATATAGTTCAACCCAGGCTAAAAGTAAGTTGAGTAGACCAGCATTATCAAAGTGTCAGCTCTCTGAACATGTTGCAAGATTGCCATCTGCAGGACAAAACTAGTTTTTCTCGCCCTCCTCGTCAATGTCATGATGACGTCATCGTACAGCAAAACATGCAGATCAGGTGACATGACTGTCTAAGACACTGAGTTAAACTGTGGCAGGTAAACATGTGGAGGAGGAACAACAACTGCAACATGACGCTGGAACATTGTTATTGCATTATACAGTTTCCTCTCTAACTGGGTAATGCTGTGAAGAAGAACAGCTGTGGAACCAGGGTCCTGAGTGTCGTCTATTGATGAATCCAGGTAAGTGTGTTGCTGGTGGAAATGATGAATCACAGCGTCCATCTCACGTTGGAGTCAGAGCTTTTCTTCAGCTGCTCTGGTCTTCAAATGTAAGGCATCGACGGCTCTCCTTTTCAGGTCCGTTGGAATATCACCTTCTTCTGTCTGAGAAATATTCATGAAACAAACCTGAGAAAACATAAACAGCAGCAGTAACAGTAAATTGTACTTATAAATTCACTGAAAAGCCACATTTGAACTCTACCTACTTGTTCATCAAGGCATGAGTACAAGGGCAAGGAGACTTCACAGACATGTTGAAATTGTCCTTGTGATGTGAAGATGGTGGAGTGTGGTGGCCACTGCACAATGTTGGACTCCGTTACAATCTTGATAGTGACTCCCTGTCTGTCTGGAACAAATCATTTATATTAAAAATACATTTACAGAAAATACAAACACCAACAACATGTGTCAACATAACATCATATTTTATTATTTAGATTATATATATTATTATACTTTATTAATATTTATTTTTCAATGAAGATGACAACCAACTGCGGTTTGAATCATTGAATGTACACCAAGCACTGCAGATATATTTTAAGACTTCTACATTTTATAAATAGTGAAAAAATTACAATTAAAATTCTCAAAAAAACAAAACTGGGTGAAAATACAAATAATATGTAAACAACTTAACAACCCCCAAAGCGTGTAAGTCACGTCACGTGACAGCGCAACATCTAAACACAAGGGGGAGGGGAGCAAAGTGTGCCTGCTCTGCGCTGACACAGGAGCGGCGAGTCCAGCGACTTGGCTGTTTTGTCTTTGCCGAAAGCACAGCAAACAAGAGCGGAACTTAAAGGGGTCTCCACCCTGACTTCCAACCGGAGCGGCCCGCGGAGCTTACAGCGCCGGTGCACAGACGCCTGCCCACGGGTCCGAGTAACAGCTAACAACGGCTTCAACGAGGCGCCGTGACGTCACTAAGAATTAAGGTTTGGGTTTTTTGGATCAATCTTTATTCGAATTGAGACCAAAGAACAGGAGCAGCAGCTAACTCAGTAAAGAGATTACCGGAAGTGTGCTCGGACACGGAGGTCAGAAGTTAAATCAGCCTAAACAAACACACTGAAGTTTGTCTTCTTTTTGAATATTTACCCGAACAATGATGTCATAAGTTTGTAAGGTTGGAGGAAAGTTTGATAGTGTGAGGCGTATGTCCTCAAATTGTGGTTATGCAGGTGTTGTGCCAAAAAGTGGTTGTCTGCCAAAAACTGATTTCCGGTATTTGCCAAAACCTGATTGCTTGTATGTAAACTGCTATAAATAACTTGTTGGTCTACAATATGTGAAACATATGTCAAATATATCCCTCGTGAATTATATCAAGTCATCTTGACCAAAAAACAACATTCCTGTAGCAAGGTAGAAGCCGCAATCACTTTTTGGCACTGACCTTTGTATCCTTTATTTGTGCAGTTAAAGAAAATTCTTGTTTACTTTAAAAATGTCTCTTTTAAGAGTAATCTGGCCAAGAGGACAGCTGAAATTGCAACAAATGCAAAATTAGTTCTGTAAACATATTTTAAGTGGACAAAACGAAGCTAAATTGATTATAATCAAGTACAATAACACAGCTACAAAGATAACTGAGAAACAGGTAATTTTTTAAAATTTTGTATATAACCCCTTTGTAATACCTGTTCACCGAAGTCTATTTAGCAACATACGTAATGATGTTACACATAAAAAACACACGGAAACATTGGAAATCGTTTTTTGGCAGCCAATCACTTTTTGGCACAACACCCACTTGTACATGTACACAAGAGACACGAGAGTTCTTTACTGATGTTTACTGTGCTCCTCTTAACGTACACAGGCACACCGTAGAACTGGTGAATTCAAATGTACAATAAAGTTATATTTCAACATTAAAACATATAAAATTTGAAAAATATAAACAAACATACCACTTTGGCCTGCAAGTGGACACACTGGTGTATTTGGAACTTAGGACTTATTATTTCTTATTTAGCTTGGCATTTACATGTCAAGACCATCATCATGTGCAGCTTCTCTGACCTTTTTCCTAAACAGGAAGTGATCTCTCACCTTAAACCTTCTTAATTGATCGATGACTTTCATGTGTCAAACTAGCAATATACTGTATACAAATAAGAAAATGTTAAACATAAAAATAAAAACAGAGAAAATAAAATCCGTGAATGACATTATAATTACAAGAGCGCCACTTAGCAGTACAACACTAGCGTTTCATCAGCTGTTACACTGGCCATAAATATTTTGTACTTGTAAAACAAATGCGTATTTGTGAACTGACTTTTGTAACCTTGTAAACCAACAGATGGGTTTGGCTGTGGGAGGGGTGCACGAACAAAATTTTTAGATATTTTGGTTTACAATGTTAGAAAACTCAGTTCACAACTATGTATTTTATTTACAAGTATAAAATATTGATGGCCACAATTTTAGCCCTTAGAGGCTGTGAGGAAATTGGGATTTGTGTTCACAGCCTCCCTTTAGTGAATATGGAAGTTGAAAGCAAAAAAAAGAGTTTAATGAATTAAAATACAGAAGAGTTGTAAATGACTTCGTGTTGGTGGGTTGGTGTGCAGAAAAGAGAACGCAGCGTGGGTCCGGTGCTGGGGGGAGGGGCCCGACTGGTTGAGGCTGGTCAATGAGGAGGTCTTTGAATCTGGAGCACGGGGATGGGGTTATGGTGCTGAGCGCTGAGCTGCAGTCCTCATGGAGCTCTTCCTTTTCTCTACATGGCTCTTTTCTCTGTGAATGGTGATGATGATGGCATTCTCCTCCAGGGTCAGAATGGTGGAGTGAGTCAGGGAGAGTTTGATTGCCCAGTGACGATGCTGTCCCGAGGTTCACCGCTGTCAGCCTGCAGAAGACTGCATGTGGTTGGAAACAGGATCCTCTTGGAGCAGATCTCTGATCTGTTTATTGCAGGAGTTAAAACAGACTTCACCTACAGCAGAGTGTGTTGGTGTAAAAGCAGGAGGGTGGTGCTGATCCAGTCCCCAGACCTTTGCATGCTCCAAAGAGTTACAGGAAGGTTAAAATGTGTTCATTAATTAGTTATCATGAAACAATAGTTGGTCTACCAGGAGGACTGTTTCTGAACCAGGAGTCACACAATTAGGATTTTTGCTTGTACAGATGAAATAGTGATGAGGAGTTCTGTTTTGAATAGAGATGGACTGATCCAATATTGTGTATCGGTATCAGTCCTATACTGACCTAAGTTACTGGATCGGATATCGGAGAGAAGAAAAAAATGTAATCTGATCCATTAAATATCACAAAAGCACCGCACAAAACTTGGGACATGGCGTAACCCAGCTCATGACATTAGCAGTCACAGCAGTTATTATGTGTCACGTGATAGAGCGGCTGTGGCATGCGAGACCTGTCGGCAGTCTGGTGGAGCATTTGGAGCCTCGCTACGTACTTGCAAATGCATTTCATTCAGCTATCCCAGAGAAGTAAAGCAAGTGTGTGAGTTCATCTCTGAATGTTTGTAAAGCATTCTCGCGTTAAGCTTAACAACTGATATATGGAGCGAGTGCCTCTTCCCTCCCCCCCTCTCCTGTTGCTACTTCAATTAGGGATGGGTTTTGATAATCGATTTATTGATTAAAATCGATTCTGGCTTGGATAACGTGATATCGATTCATTAAAATCCTGAATCGATTTTTTAAATATTAATTCATTTTGCCCAAAATGCCTGAATCTCAGGTTAAACCTCACAAAATTTCAAGAACCACCAAACAGTTAAAACAGTAAATGAGAGCAGGAACACGGATTCTGCACAAAGACGTAAACACACAGTGCGGAGCCGCCGAAACATCTGAAACAGTGAGATGTCGCCTTTCTCACCCGGCGGCATGGACACGGTTGGGGCTGAAAGCCGACAGCTCGCTGATTCTGATCCATCGGCGGGTCCGCGCTTTGTGTTTACGTCCTTTTTGCACTGATTCTAAAGCTGTTAGTTTGATCTCTCTCCAAACAATAACCAGCAGCAAAAGAAGATCCAAACTACGCTTCACATAAACGTCGTCATGAATTCACTCTGACTTTTGCTGTTTTGCTTCCACCACAATAAAATCACACTTCATGCACAGCTCTCTCTCTCTCTCTGAGGCAAAATCGAATCATGGATCGAATCGATTCGGGATCTTGTGAATCTGAATCGAATCAATTCTAGAAATCAGTGACAATACCCAGCCCTAACTTCAATCATGAAACTGATCAATGATCAGCTGCTTTTCTGTCACGAGTCCCATCTCTCTTTTTTTATTAATCTCCCACTTTGCACCAGAAAATGGAAACCAGCGGATAATCAAGGCATACATGAGGCGGAGGGTGGGTTTGGTTCATTTATTTTTTATTTTTTGTTGGGAGTTGGCAACCCTATTAGTTT